CGAAGCGACTTCCACGGACAAGTGGGCGAGGGTTCGAGGAAGTTGAACAAACTGAAGGATAAAAATGGCGACACACCACTCCATTGGGCTGTTAAAACGAACAAGTATGTCCTCAGTCCTAGCAATGCATTTCATGATAATTAAGTTTACTAAGACACCCGCCAATTGCACTGTTCTGACGATTTACAGCAGTCCAATCCAACAGAGACATTTCATAAATCGATGACCACCTCCTCGTATTGAAAAGGATGGTGGCGCACAGGTAAACTGGCTTGGTGTGGAGCAGTTGGGCTATGTCAGATTGCCAAGGCATCAAATCGACACAACAGGTGTAAAGGCACAACGCAGAATAATGTTGGAGCGTAAGATGTGTGTGTTTCAGTTGATTGAAAGACGTCAATTTACGTCCTGACCGACACATCAAGCGTTGACAACCGCAACACGTGTTCGCACGAATGGTGATTGTGTGCAAAAAGTCACAATGCGAACTCGAATTGTGCTGATGGCATCATGTGAAGTGGATCATATTGGACTCATGTGGGCGCACGCACGTTATCTCGGGAACTGGCAGCGTTCACAGTCACGCACTCCGTGCCAGGCAGAAGATTCAACGCGCGGAGTAGGTGATAACAGAAAGGCAGAGAATTCGAGGGTCAGAGAGTGGCGCGTTTACAATAAACGATTGTTATGAGATCTCGTGGGGTGCGGCGAGCAGACACATGACGCCTGGTCACTGTTCTCACCTGGTTGGGGCGGTGTCCGGTGGCAGAGACGCCTGGACGGTGAGTCACGGCGTTGCCACGTAGAACAACCACCGCTAGAAAGTGATTGTCGGCATGCGAAGCAGTTTGGGTTGCAGTCGTGTTTGGCTGTTGCCACGGCATGTGAGGGGCGTTTGGAATGAATGCACGTTGGCATCGTGCCTTTGTTAACAGCCTTCAAGAATATGCCAATGTGGAAGAATTCTCAAACGAAAGCCTCATTCATTTGCATCCAAAGTGGAAAGTAGACAATGGTGGTTGTGGTTGCATCTTCGAGGAACAGTTGACTTCGTTGGAAGCCATGGATTGTGTTGCATGGAGTCGCAACTGATTCACTACCATAGCAACACCAGATATGTAGAGTGATTCTCCTTGGCGAGTGATAACCAACCAACCCACGTTGCGTGAAACGTTGAGTGGTTAACTGCACTTGTCGAATGCTGGCCACTGAGGAATTGTGTGTGTGTTGACAGGAATCTGAGGCTTCACGACACCACTGATCCGTGTGTGGCGTGTCGTTGATTGTTGAGCGAAACCAAATGTGGAAAAAATCGCGCTCACACGACCATCGTGTACACCAATTAGAATGTAGGTTTGTGACATGCCGTCGGCTGGACGCGGCAGGCTGTCACGCTTAACAGTCGTGAGTGGCATTAATTTGTTTGCCGAGATTGTTAACTCGTTAATTGCGCATAACGTTTTTGAGAAAAAGCATGAGCTACGATCTTGATGTGAGGGCAAGTGTCCGTGTTCTGTTAGTGTCAGGTGACTGCGGTATTTGCCGCTGACGGACTCTGTGAAGTTAATGATCACTTACGCGAGGCACTTGTTACGCGTTTTTACGACCGAAGAAGCAATTATCAGAGTGCGGAGTCTGATATTAAAGTGATCAAGATAAACGTCACGTGTCGCACACGTGACGTGGTACATACAGCCACCACTAGAGGTGTCTCGTGGACGCGGTTGGTTAGAGGCTTTAATGTTGGCTTAAATGTCGCAACAAATATGGTAGTTGACAGATACCCAGGACGGTGCAGAATCAGCTGTTTCGGTGCGCAACTGGTGTTTGTCTCACTTCAGACAATGGAATGCAGTGTGCTGCTTTCCGCTGTATCAATTAATTAGCGTTTATAATCACCTCACTTCAATTCTAGTGTGTGGTCGAATGGCAGGCGACAGCCACTTCAGTTGTTTAAATGAGCTGCGTTAAAATGTGGCGGTCAACTTTAAAACGAAGGAAATAAAGATAAACGTCTTGTTGGAGGGAGTCTATGCGAACTCGTCAAATTGTGGCATCATGTCGAGGAAATAAAGGCCGCGAGCGTAACCTGCCAAATCACTTTTAACGCTTAAAAGCAGCGGTGGCCGTGGAGTCGTCGATTAAATGCCTGACACAGCCAGCTCTTACGCAGCCCACACCGGATTGAAGGTCACGCTTGCAGCTGAAATTCGTCACTTGTTGCGCCAATGAAAGCAATAGATTTTGGCTTGTTGAAGACTAATTAATGCGTTGGCTGGTGACATTGGTCAAAAGTTATGCCCTGCTATGTGCACGGCTCGTTTGCCAGTCAGGTTTTACCTGAAGTTAGTCACCGGTTTTAGCATGTTATTTTAATTACTGTTCCCACTCAGAAATTTACAGGTTCTTTAAATTCTACTATAAGTTGAACGGTTTGTTTTTTTGTATTGTGGCTGTGTGTACCACGCACATTTCATCTATTTTAGTGAATTGCGTTCTGAAATATCGCTCTTGTTTAAATTATATTTAATGTGCACCTCTACCGACTGCCATTCGCGTCTGTATTTCTTGTCAGCTTAGCGGCATTTTCATCGTGCATTGAGTAAAAATATATCAAAAATGTGTGTATTATGTACATCCATATCCTACGGTCGCAATTTATCTTGTCGTGGGAGGTTATGCGAATGTGCATGGTAAATTTGGACCTGGTCACTTCACGGAATCACGGAAGCGTCAAGTTACCATGGCAGTAGAACCCAGACGGAAAACGTGTGCGTCATTTCGTGGCACGCGACAAGATCTTGTGCAGATTGCCGATTAAATCGGGGCAATTTCAAATCCTAAGAAATGTAATTGCCAGTTGTGTGCTGAAAATGATTTTTTCCGTTTTATGTTGTTGTTTGAGCTTCGTTTTTATCCAACACATTTTGGCTCGTCCTTACGTAATTTGATAAAGTGCCTTGGTAGGGTGCTTGATTTACTGAATCTGATGAAATTACCGAAAGAGCAGTGACTTTAATTGAACCGTTCGGACGATCACGTCGCGTTCATCCATGTGAAGATGACTGAGGACTACTCGCCTGATTAAAGATGGCAGTAAGGAAGCATTTGCCATGTTGGTGTTGGTTTGTGTGTTGTGCAAATTCGGGTTCGTGCTGAGCGCCAGTAAGAATCTGCAGAATAGACGAGTGGTGCTCATGTTGAACGTTCTTTGACCTGCTAAAATCGCGGTGTTTGTCTCTTGCAGCTCAAGTTTCAATTGTTTTTTTTCTTGGAAATTTGGCTGCATTTTCAGATTTCATTCCACTTCGTCAAACACTCAGATAGAGGCTTTGCATAAAAGAAAGAGTTATTGCGAACATGTGTTGAGTGAGCACAGGTGAATTTAAGTGATTTGTCTGAGCCATTAACTTGAAATCGCAGACTCCTTACGACCATAAATTGCTGACACGCCAGAGGTAATAACTTCCTGGCGCTACCGCAACCAATCACATGCGCGCATAAACTAGCAGAGTTCACTTAGTAAATTTCGCCAAACGCAAATGCCTAGTCTTTGTTTAAGAAGAGACCTAATGTAACAGATATTGTGAAGTGATGAATAAGGCAAAGGTCGAATTGAAAGTCAAGATTTTTCCTTTGCGCAATGTCAACATTATATTACTGAAATCTTGTCTGGCAACCACAATTAGAGTGAATTTAGGATTCGTATAACAAACTGTACGATGGGTCATCTTACTTCACAGATTCAAACTCCGTGTAAGAGAAATCAGCGCCTTTTTTACCAAGTCCGCAGTTTGCCCGCACTCACACACATCTAAAACTTGGACGTGTGACTGCCTTTAGCATTCCTCACATTATTTTCTAAGTAACTAGATTCCCTAGAACTCTAAGCTTCTATAACATCAATAACCCAGACGATATTTTACTGGGCGAACTATTGTTCAAAATATCCTTATCAGGTGCTAAAGATGCAATTTCAATCAGAGCACTAAAAAACCAAATTACAACATGTGTTTGGCAAAAATAAACTTTTTTGAATTTATAAACTGATTCCTATTGATTCCGACACATTGAATATATCGACATAATACTAATGGCTTGAAATCATTAAATTGCATTCAGGGTTAATAAAATTGAACAATTAAAAGGTGAAAATCCGTGAACACAAATCACACCTCAAATTCTATCTTAAACTGAAGTAAAATCACGTTATTCAAACCTTTTAGAAATTATGCATGGTTTATTATTCCCAGTTCATATAATTTTCCAATCTTAATTTTCGTCAAAGTTCTGCAGTAAACTAACGAAAAACTTGCATCGTTTATAAATAGTGTAGTCCAAAAAAAAGTTGAGCATGATAGGACATATCTATATACAAACAATAAATAAAATAAGTCAAAAGCTTAAATTTCTTCTTTTACCAAGCAAATTGGTTACCATAATGCTGTGTCAATTTGGGTACAAAGAAAGCATGCAGGGATTGTTCAAAAATTTCCGTATAATTAAGCAGCAATGTCTGACAGAAAAAATAAAGTTTTAAAGTCCCTTTAACTTGGACTTCTCGAAAAGACTAAAAAAATAAGGAAATAATGTGACGAAAACCTATATAAAAGTAAAAGCTCAAAAGTTACACAATGATGGCTTTATATGGCAATTAAATTAAAAAACACAAATTATATTGCAAAAACAATTAAAATATTTTATCGAAAAAAATGAAGAAATACCAGTGAATTGACAGTTACTATGTCGTAAGCAGAAAAATTTGACCTTAATATGAAAAGGTTCTTCATCTTTTATTACTGTTAAAAAAGCAAGATTGTTTACTTCGAAATTACCCTTAAACAATTTTTTTAATATTGCCATTTATCGAAAAGCTTTCTTGACCTTATTTTAATTCCAGCCTTGACAATACTGTTTAAATTTCCAGAATATTTTTACTTTGTTGCTGTCTAAATTTGAAGTCCCCGGAAATGTGTGATAAAATACTGAGTCTATGGCGTTTGTCATTTTTTCTAGCAATTGTGCTAACCATTTTTGCGAACGTTTTTAATTTTATTGGTTTTGTATCTCCGTTTTGGATTGTTTCAAGAGATGGCGACAATTATGGCTTCGTGCGTCTTGGATTGTGGGAAGTCTGTTTCAAAAACTTTATTTTTGCGGAAGATTATATCTCGAAAGCATACGATGGCTGCTGGTATATATATAGACAAGAATTCAAATACATTCGTTTTTGGATAAACCCTCGTAAGTCCTTGTAGTTTTTCGACGATTTAGCTTGGTTTATAATAATACAGATAACATCGATTGTTAATATTACCTTCAGCCTCGGTGGCCTTATTCTTATTTTGCAAAATGCTGCTGGAATCGAGACTACGTTTTGCACTTTGTCAAGCAGTCCAATTATATTTCTGCAGTCAGTTGTTGGTGGGTTTGTCTTAGTAGTTTGCCACTTTCTCTTGATTCATGAGTAACATGTCGTTTATTTTCTTTTTTCCAGTTGCTTGTCTGACTGTCATAACAATTGTGCTTGGCCTTATGTCAAAAGATCGCCAATGGCTGCCATTTTCTGACAGAAACACGGTGGGTTGGGGTCTTGGTTTCTCAGCAACAGCCGGCATATTGACTTTACTTAGTATCTTCTGCTTGCTAGTTGACCAGCTTGCACACTACAGCGAACAGATTTACCACAAACTACTTGAAGAAAAAGGCATTACTACTGTGCACTCAATTCCTCCCGATATTGCCCCTGGACATGATAACGTGCCTGCTTCAGGTATATCGCAGCCCGGTCCTGTTGGGACTGAATCGCGATTAGGCGGAGTTCCATCTCTGTTTATGACGGGATCTCTGCCTTCAGTTGGCGGTGGCGCAGGTGGTGGGCCTGCGACCCGAATATTCTCAGTTCTCGGAGGAGCGAAGAGTGCCATCCTTTCAAAATATGGTGAAACACGGACGACCATTCCTGGGCTTGCAATGAAACCAGAAGCTCAGACGACTTCGGGTGCATTAGTGTCTGCAAGACTGCGTGAGAACTTACAGAGTGAGCGACCAATAGAACCACCAACGGCGCAACCAGCTGTTGGGTCTATTCACTCACTCAATGCACCAGCCACTGGCGGACTACAAGAAAGACCCGTCATTGTTTATGGAGCTTCGAGAGGAAATATTATCAAAGATTCGGCTGTGTAAATTTATTTATGTGTATAGCACTAAACTGAACATATATTTATGAATTCTTGACCCTCATTTTGATATTGCAAAGGCGTTGTTTGGTAGTGAGGGAAGGGCTGATCGTGTTTCATGAATGCTTTTCACAAAGCACAACGCTGTGGATTTCTAATTACTTTTAGGTTCCAAAAGTTATCTAACAAACAAGTATTTGCAACCTTACCAGTATTTACACGAGGTGCTTCAAAATTCTCAAGATATGGCTCTAAAACTTCTTGTTTTACTTTCTACGTTTCAGGATATAACTAGTACTGGTTTTTATAAACTATGACATGTGACGTTTTATGTTTTACAGCACTACTCTTGGTTCTGAAGGTGTTTAAAAATGCATATTTAAACAAGCACAGAGCCTGATTTTTTAGGAGACTGTTTTTCATGTTTAGGTTAAAATCTAGTGATATTTTTACGTCAATTCAAGCAAACCAGGTAATGTTTATCAGTAACCTTTTTTTAGAGGGGGTGTTCATTTTAATGTTCTGTTTCTACAGCAATGATTTACACTATGTTGTGTGTGTCTTTAGTGAAAACCACACCAATAAACGTGGTTTTGTTGCTAAGACGCAGGCTATAAAATCCGCATTTGATAAAATTGGACTCAGAGCTTATTGGTCTCGCCACGACGACGTCCTTTTTAAATTAAAATTGAAAAAAAAAGCCCTAAATTAGCGGCGGTGACAGCACTAAACCAGATTTGGGAATGACAAAATCAACAATAAGCTTGTGTTTTCTAAAATCTGCGTCAGCCATAAGGATTCCAGCTGTCTCTTTTAATGTCAGGATTTGACACTTCACTTCAAACCAACCAATCAGCATTTCAGAGGCGACGACTCTACGGTGGTCAGAGGGAAATCTGTCATGGGCGGATATGCCTAAGGCGAGGTTTCCGGGTCTGCTTCCGCATGCACTCATGGAATGACTAGGCTCACATGACCTACGCCGAAGGTCCATTCATGACAACCTGAGAACGCGTGTTGTGCCTCATTGACACAGACCAGACTAGTGGCCCAGACACACACGCTTCAGACGCCAAGCGCAATATGCTTGCTAACCCCCACCTATCTTTGCTTGTCTTTTTTAATGACAACGACATTTTTGTAGTTATGCGTCGATGGTGCGTAAGAGCGAAGATTAAGTGAGCCCTAGACGCATCGACTGGTGGACAGGAGATAAGCGAAGTTGATTGGACAGACGCAACCAATCAAAAGTGAGAAGCCGCCGTCAAATGACAGAACCGGAGAGGAAACTCTTTTCGCACAATTTCCAACGTTTGCTCACTTATACATATACGCATATATTTGCGGTGAGTATTCACGAGTACAATGGACGGTAAACGCCCATCGCCAACCAATCGAAATGCACGTCAGCGGCGCAAAATACTCAGACGCCAGATTGAGCATCGCTCTGGGGTACCAACACAAAGGCGTAGATTGGACAAAGCCCCGGCGGGAGATTGGTCTGTTTCTCATCCAGCAACACCCGAAGCCCGGCCTCTCGGAATACGCGGAGCAGTTCTTCGTGTGTGCGCATAAAACTGCTGTCCACCTCGTCAAAGTCAGCCACGCTGCCCGGGGCAACATTGTCCTTGAGCACAATAATCGATCGATTCGGTTCTTCCGCGGAAGGCGGTCGAAGGCCGGTGATACAGCGTTTGAGGAATTCGATAGTCGCAGGAATGGTGAGATGACCGATCACCCACTGGATCCAGATAAGGTCGTACACGCCTTGCTGCGGTGTAAATTTCTGGAACAGATTCGTGGATAAATGTCACTTAGTGGCACGGATACTCCGAGCACCTAATCAAAGACCTACATGGAGGGAGGTGCAGTACTGTTCCCCAACCCTCTCAGAATCGGGCCGTCCAATGAAGGTCTTGGAGGCCTGGAGGAATTTTGCTGTCATTTCCACCATGTCGACAGTCTCGAATCGCGGCAGCAGGAGGTGCTTCGTGATGCGTCCGATGCCCGCGCCACAGTCGAGAGCACGCGATCTCCGTGTGGGTCCGAATCGCGCGAGAATCGACGCCGAACCCGCTATGTCGGGCTTGTTGACTCGACTTAGGCCGCCTAGCATGCCTTTCACCGTGGCGTCGACGCTGTTCCAGTAGTCAGCTGCTTTTGAGTAAAAATCCAGAGGCACTGCTTCATCGACGTCAGCGGTGGTGTTCTCAACGGCGTCATCTCTCAACGACGACATCTGTGTCTGCAATCACCAGCAGAGACAATTAAAGGCAAACTGTGCAAAAATGTCACACTAATTTGACTACTTGACGTTTGGTCGAAAAAGAACGCATCGAATTTGGAACGAACAATGAGATGAACAGTAAACGCAAATGACAGGTGGTAGGAAGAGTGGTAACGGTAATAACAGTGACACGGAACAACTGGCAGACACCACTTACCAATCCTACGATTTTGCTCAAAATTTACTTGGAAATACAGAAGCCTAAAACGGTCGAGTTTTTTTTTAAAAAAAAACGCGTGCTATGAGACATTCAATGCAGTAAAAAAACAAGCAAGAATATCGATTATCGATAGACTGGATATTCGACAACCCCGGCCAAGGTCACAACTAACCAATCAGAACATGAGTGAGGGTTTTGAATAAAATAGCCCATTTTACCACAAGTACGTTCAAGCTGAAAGAAGCCTAATTCAACCAGACCTTAACTCACTACGTGGCACAAAACATGCGAGAATGGTGAGTGGTTTTAATTAATGTGATCACCTCAATGCACCAATCGAAACACGAGAGCGGCATTTTGACTAAACTAGCCCATTTTCTCACACACACACACACAACTAATGGATGCTCAGGCCGAGAGAAGCCTTCATCACAACAGCCCAGCTTCAGCCAAACCGTAAAACAGAAGACCGTAAGAGAGATGAGCAAAGTACACTTTTATTCCACGCAAAACAGTCTCCCACACTCTCTTCGCCGGAACATCTCGTGTATAAAGGTGTACGAGGTCGGAATGTCTCCAACGTGATCTAACCGCATTCTCGCTGTTCCACGTCAAGCTCGACGTTGAGTGAAGGAGGGACTTGAGCCTGAAGATGAGGAAAAAGAAATTACAAATCTGGTAAAGTGTTCAATGAGAAAGCTGATTGGCCGATGTCTCAACCAATCGCCTGCTGACACGTTTTAACCAATCACTTTTCAAGGCCACAAATTTTTTCCGCCAACAGAGTCGGAGGAGACCAGATCGTGAGCAAAGAGGAAGGCGAAATCGAATAAAACAAAACCAGGTACCGCTCACCGAAAAGAGGGGGATTCTGGGGTTGACTGGACGTGTTCGCGAGACCACCGAAGCTGGCTCCACCAGGAGTGCTACCGAGGCTAAAATAAGAAAAAAGAACACAACGGATTAATACCGAAGCACGACACGGGCTGGCGGAGCGACAGCTAAACTATTGGAAGACTCCACTGTGGACAGGAATCCGGCGCAGACGTCTACAACAGACAACGACGAATCACCCCGACCGCCCGTGAATGCGTAACACCCCGATTCAGGTCAAACCCTAAGCAAGACAACGAGGAGGCGGAGTGGAAGAACTTACGCAGCGAAAAGACCACCAGCAGTCGATGCGGAGTTGCTGGAGGTGCCGCCGAAGGGACTTCCGCCGAACGCCGGTGGCGCACCGAAGCCCGAGGACTGCTGGGCCCCGAAGGATGCCGGCGCGCCGAAACCGCCGCCAGTGCCACCCGCGGCAGACCCGAACAGACCACCACCACCACCCCCTCCGCCAGAAGCAGTAGCAGCAGAAGACTGACTTCCAAAGAGACCGCCACTAGGTGCGCCCGAAGACCCGAAAAGCCCACCTGTGGTGTTCCCGAAGGCGGGTCCGCCAAACAAGGGGGCGGCGGTCGGTGACGAGGCGGAAGCGTTGGTACCGAAGAGACCACCACCACCACCGCCGCTGCCTCCACTGAAGAAGCCAGTCGACGCGGTGGTTGTCACGGCTGCGTTACCAAACAGCCCACCGGAGGGGCTGGAAGGTGTCGAAGTGCCGAAGAGACCTCCACCGCTTCCACCGAGAGTGGAAGGACCGAAGAGGTTTTTCGACGGAGCAGGCTTGGATGCGGCGTCAGCACCGAAAAGATTAACCGAGGGAGTCGGCGACGTAGCAGCGCCAAACAGACCACCTACAGCGGAATAATAATGTGTGAATTGCGCTACAGGGGTCAGGGTACTTCGAAGACGATTCAGAAACGCGTGTTCCAGAGTAGACCAGGACAGCTTACCCGACGGTTTGGGCGACGAATCGCTGGGCTTTCCGAAGACATTTGAAGGCGCTGTGGTCGACGGCTGGCCGCCTAGTCCAAAGTTCGACATGGCAAAGAGGCTAAAACAAAGGTGAACAGATGGAACTACCACATCGACCACAGCAGCTTCGACAAAGCAACCGCTACGTGGCTGAGACCTTACTTGTCAACATTTGAGATGTGTGGCAAAGCAGACGTGGTGGTAGTCGCCGAGGCTCCGAAGAGTCCCCCGCCAAATTTGGGGGCAGCAAACAAGCCACCACCGGTCGCAGAAGTGCCTTAGACGAAAAAACAGCAAGGATTTTTATTGATTTCTGAATGATCTGCCACAATAGCGAACGTGTTTGCTCGCATTAAAGCTATGACTGAGTTAATACGAGCGGCAAAAGTGGAAGCTCCAATCTAGGTTATCTTGTAGGAGGCTGCAAAACAGTTGTTTGATGCTTGACTTCAGACAAGTCCTTACCAAATAATCCGCCAGACTGGGCACTCGTGGTGGCTGCTGAACCTACAACCAACGTCAACACAGTTAAGGCAGTTACAGTTCACTAGGAGGAGTCAGAAGTAGCCTAGCACGCTGCTTAGATGAAACAATAAGTCGTATTGGCAAGAACCAGGAGAAACGCGGGCAAAAGCAGACGCACTTGGTTGCAGGAAATGTCGCACAAATTAACAGGAAACATTTGGTACGGAGAGAATTCAGTCCAAACGAAGCCAGTCAGTAGGACTAGCCTTTATGCAAATTTAAACGGATGAAAATTGTCGGAGTTCTGATAGAAGCAGCGAGATTTAAAAGGACGCGACAGTTGGGTGAGATCGAAGAAACAGCTAGCTAAAGCATACCAAACAGGTCTCCCGATTGGCTGGCAGTTGATGCTGGTGGCTGACCTTCAAAATCAAAGGACACAATGAGAAGGGGTCACGACAGATCAGGTGGAATTTTAGGCGACAACGAACGCTTACTTACCAAACAATGTCGACGTTTGACCTACAGTTGTGGCGGGAGATTGACCTACAAAACGAATTGACGGTTCGGTTAGCCAATCAAATCAAGCCAGTTAAACAATAAAGGTCGATCAGCCAATCGCATTGCGGCTCAAAAGAGCATCGACGTGCACATACCAAATACAGGGGAGGCTTGGCCTGCAGTGGTCGTAGACGATTGACCTACGGGGTGAATTTGTGATTTGGCAATAAAATCGATAAAATAGTCGAAATCAGAACTCAAGAGACTACCAGCGTTCACCTACCAAACAGGGAGGGAGGTTGACCCGCAGTTGTCGCAAGCGACTGACCTACAAGGCAAATCGAAGGGTTGACGACGAAAACCGATTAGCCAATCGAATCGGAGCTACGAAGAGCATTGGCGGCAACGTACCAAATAATGTGGATGCCTGGCTTGCAGTTGTCACTGGTGATTGACCTACGGGGAAAGAGGAATTTGCGAGCGAAAATCGATATTCCAGTTAGGTTGGATTTCAATATAACCAAAAAATACGTTTAATTACCAAACAAGGATGGAGGTTGACTGGTAGTGGTCGCAGGAGACTGCCCTGTAAAGCGAAATAATGGCTTAGCAATAAGATAGACAAGGCGAAGATATCGAAGTTCGGAAAAGCATCGGTAGTCACATACCAAACAACGTTGGAGTCTGACCTGCAGTTGTCGCGAGAGGCTGACCTACAAGGCAAATCGATGGTTTGACGACGTCGATCAATAAATCGATAGAGTTGGTGTCTAAAAGGGTAATAACGGTTACATACCAAACAACGTCGGAGTCTGACCTGCAGTTGTCGCCAGAGGCTGACCTACGGGGCAAATCGAAAAGGTTTATAACGGAAATTGATAATCGTGTCAAGTTACAATCGAAGGTAGAACAGACATGAACTTACCGAATAGTGTCAATGCCTGACCTGCAGTCGTCGCTGGCGATTGGCCTGAAAGCCAAAGCAAGGATTTGGCAGGAAAATCAATAAATCAATCGGGTCAGAGGTCAAAAGGGCACCAATGTTGACGTACCAAACAGGGAGGGGGTTTGGCCGGCAGTGGTTGCGGGCGACTGACCTACAAAGCAAAATTGAAGGTTCGACGGTGTGAAGTTTGACCAAGTCAATGGAGGATATGACGACAAAAATTGATAATTTGGTGCAAATCAGACTTAAAGAGGGAAGCGACATTTGCATACCAAACAACATGGATGTTTGACCTGCAGTTGTCACTGACGACTGACCTGCAAATTAAATCGATGGAATGACGACGAAAATCGATAAACAAATCAGATTGGCGAACGAGAGGTAATAATAAACAATTACGTACCAAACAGGGACGAGGTTTGACCTGAAGTCGTTGTCTGTGGTTGACCTTGAGATAAAGACAAATTGGGCAGTGAAAATCGATAATCCAATAAATGTGATGATCAGGCGAAAATCTGATCACTTACCAAACAACGTGAAGGTTTGGCCTGCATTTGTCACGGGGGACTGACCTATCAGCGAAATAATGGATCAATAACTTAACCGATTAGCCAATCGAGACGGATTTCAAAAAAATAAACGCAAAATCACTTGCCAAATAGGGTTGATACTTGACCGGCGGTCGTCGGAGGAGACTGACCTATAGGCGAAATGATGGTCCGGTAAAAAATCGATAAACCAATCAAATCAGAGGAAGAGAGATAATCGAAAACAACTTACCGAATAACTTCGCACTTTGGCCCGAAGTAGTCGCCGGCGATTGGCCTACGGAAAAAGACACAGTTGGAACGAAAAGTCGCCAATACAGGTAATTTCGAGTTGACAAGGAAAATCCTTGTTCACGTACCAAATAAGGAGGCAGCTTGTCCCGCAGTTGTCGTTGGGGACTGACCTGCAAAGCAAACCAACAATTTAGCAGCATAGAAAATCGATGAAATAATCAATACAGGAAGTAAGAGAGTTCACTCACCGAACAACGTCGAGGACTGACCTGCGGTCGTTGCTGTGGGCTGACCTACAAGTCAAATGGAGAGTTTGATGACAAAAATCAAACCGATAGTGGCAAGAGACAGGATTGTCGTCGGCCTCAACGAATCGTTCCCGCGGCCGCATCGTCGCAAAACGTGGCAGTGTAGAGGCTACAAACAGCCTGCTAAAAGCTGAGCACGGAGTGTGCGCGACAGAATGAGCCAAGGGGGGCCTCACCAAAGAGTCGTAGAGAGGGTTGGCCAAACACGCTTGCTGACGGGGCCACATCGGAGGTGGTCGATGTAGAGGTCATCGACGGAGAAGGTGGAACGGATTTCTCAGCAGCCACCGCCTCGGAAGGAGGAGCCTTGGCGACGAAGGTGTCGCCTGCGGGCATCGTGGAGCGCTGAATAGGCTCGGCGGAAGAGGTCACAGACGGAGCTGGTGGGATGGAGGCCGTGGCGACGCTAGTGGGCGACAGGTTGTTGGAGTTGGCTGTCGACGTTGTGGTGGTGGTGGAGGAGGCCAGGAGGTTGGCGAATATGCCTCCAGGAGCGGGCCCAAACAGTCCACCGTAAATGGGCTTTGTTGGGCCTTCAGTCGTGGTAGTTTTAGCTACATACCGAAAGCAAAAACACTACCGATAAACATTTAGTAGCAATTCTGTCTCAGGAAATCGAGTAAACAAAAAAAACAAGACAACTCAAGGGTAACCAACGGTTAATTGATTGAAAATCAATTAAGTTAAAACTGCAGGCTAGAAAATCGTTGAACGCATGAAATCTGAACAAACGCCATCCACCGTAATGAATTACTTCAAGATTTCTAGCAACCCTAACCTCTGAACGAGATCAA